AGCAGGGAGCCTGCTGTCATTTTTAAGACTGCTTAAGAGGGCCATCGAGCCCTGAGTAGCTTGGTTGTTGGCTTATTTCAGCAGCCTTTCTGTCTGAATTTTGTAAACCTCTCTTTATTGAAAAACAAACTTTGTGCCCCATATTGATTCATCCACTTTTTGAGATTATTTTTTTTATTTTAGTTTCTGTTACACTGTGGGTCCCAGAGACCTGCTATGCTGGTAAAAATTAAAGGATGAAGTTGGGGGAGGATGGTGGAGTTATTTTGATCTGTGTTAGGAAACTCCTTGTAAGATAAAATCATACTTTTTACTCCGTCTAAGTATCTACTTTAAGTTAGAAGAATACATCAAGCAAATCAGATTAGGCCTGCTTTCCTTGTAAGCATGCATTGGCACCAATATACTTTGCCAAAGACTTGGAGTTACATTCCTTTGCTTTTTATGGATTATGGCTTCCTCTTCAGAAGAAGACAATTTGAGACATGAGCAGTGAAAAAACACAGTTTAGGTGAAACTGTTCATTGAAAACTTACTAGATAGTGCTTTTGAAACAAGGTACTGGAGGTGAAGTCTATCTGAGAGATTTTTGTATCTTTAAAGGCAACACAATATATGTAGAGCTTTATAGAAGGAAGAACAGTTAAATCAAAGATTCTTTCTCCCAGTCTTCTGTGTTCTGCTCAGGGCACAATTTTTATTCCTGTCACTCTAGACTGACAGCTTTATGTAGTCATTTTGGTTCCCTTCTTCTTGTTCTTGGGCACATGACTGGGGAATGAAAGGGGACAGGAATAGAAATATGAAAGGATGCCAGACTTCCTTTCTCAGGTTTCTTCCATTCTTTCTATAGTTATGATGAAACAAATGAGTGACGCATTTTCTATTCACAGTGAATAACTTACAAAATTTAATCTCAAATGCTTTGCACATTAATAGAAATATGGGGGGAGTATAATTTGCTCTGCTGGGTTTAAGAATGTACAGAAGTGACTGATGGTACACTGAATAAAATTCTGTATGCCCCCAAGGATGGTTTGGAAGGTGCTGGGATATGTAAGATGCATGTGGTGTTTGTCCCTGTACTCTTAAGTTAGCAGCAGAATTTAAGTGTGAACAGGTTTCATGCTGGGAATGCAGTTGTGCAGTTTCCAAACCTATGTTGCCTAGAGACAGGGGTAGCATCTAAGAAAGGACTAAGTTGCTATGCAACTTGTGTGTGTGGTGAGTACTTAGTTTATTTCAATCCTCTTGTAGTTTGTAGCATCAGCTGTTTTTGCAGAGGGATGTTCTTTGATGTGTATTAGAGCTGGGATGTGAAGCATCAGGGCTTGTTTCAAAATCTGTGTTGAGCACAGGCACATCAGTACTTGTTCTTTTTTGTTAAAGATAAAGTGAAATCTTTCCGGGCAGCCCTACAAGAGGAAGAACAGGCCAGTAAACAGATCAACCTGAAGAGACCACGTGCCCTTTGAAATGGGCCTTTGCTGCTGAAGGAATCCACAAACCTGTACTGCTGTAGCACACATTTGTTACAAAACCCAGTGGCCGTAAGAAATGAACTACTTGAAAGTGTAAAGAAGTAAAAATGTCTGTGGAAATGTCCTGTTTCTCATTCACCTGAATTACATTTTCAGTTTTGTGTGAAATGCTCCTGATGTCTACAAAATGCTTCTAGACCAGACAGCACAACCATGCAGGGTTCAGATCTGTGAAGCACTTTGTTTAAAAAATTTCATTTACTCAAATTGTGAATTTTATGTTTGGGAATATTTGCCATGTTTTTTGATAATGAAGTAAAACTGTGCCCATTAAAAAGTCACAGTATTTCCTTTTGCCTATGTTCAGTTTTGTTACAAAGACCAGTTGTGCAGTTTTTAATTGTGTTTGCTTGCATGCACACCTCACTAGTGGTTGTATCTAGGTCCTTCAGAGAGCTGTGCTCACCTCTTCCCATTCTGTGCCTTGACGAAGGCTACTTAATCCTAAACATCCCCTTTCTGAAGCACAGCCTTAAGGAACAACATTCCTTATTTGTCTATAAATTACTTTCAGTGTGTACATTTTAATGTGTTTTGAGACCTTTTTTTTTGGGGGGGGGTGGCTAGTTTTATTACATAGGATGTGCCATATCATTTGAACAGGAACTGCAAGAGCTGTTGTAGACAAACAGCTGGACATTCCATCCTCGTAAAAAAAGCTGAAATCTAGATTGAATTGAATATCACTAAGAGTGGTTATGTAATGTTAATTTTTCTCTGTTATTAAAAAAAATGAGAACAAAAAACAAAACAACAAAAACCCCCCTAAAATATAAATTAGTTTATGTATAAGAAATTATACTGTTTTAAGTACTGAGGAGAGTTGTATCTTAGGACAATGCGGATGTACAGTATGTGGTTTGGTATAAAAATACTGTCAGAGTAAAGGTAGGATCTGACCTCTGTGATGGGATAACTGTCAAAGATCAGGGAGCCAGCTTAAATACATACATATTGGCCTTTCACATACTGTTAAAATTTGGCTTTTAATGCATGACAAACTTACATGTACATTAACGGTAGTTTGCAGGTAGTTTGAGTAGATCTGTTGCTTTAAAAAGTAGGTAATACCTATTTTTCCTTTTGTACAGTGCCAGCAGCTGAAAAGTGGAGTGACATTGCATAATTTGGGGATTTTACTTAATACCTCTGCCAAGCGCTAAGAGAAATCTCAGAAATGCCTGAGTTCTCCCAAATGGCGCTGTATATATATCAGCACTTTTTAGGTGGTGGCACATGCAATTTTTGCAAGTCAATATCCAAAAAACATTGACCTTTCATGTAAGACCTTCTTTTCAAATGAAGAATTGTAGACTTCTCTAGGAGTTCTCTCAATTTCCAGGAGTTTTTATCAGCAGGCCTTCCCTTGGAACTGTAGAAAAATTACTTCTGGGACACATGCCTGTTCATTTGTGCCAGGCTGGGAGGGAATAAAGGGAAGGCAATGAAAAGAGTTATATGAGCCAGAAATTCTTGTAGTGTTAAATGTTTGTATCTCCCATAGCAAGGTAGGCCATGGGAATCTCTTGTTGCATTATGGTTAAAAGAAATCCTCCTGTGTGTAAACATGAAAACTGAAACTATGTAGATTTTACATAATGTGTTTAATAAAATAAAGTATTAAATGAATTACAGATGAGAATTTACTTCTATGACAGTTCTGTTGTGCTTTGGGGAGGGTTTCATTTTGTAAGCATGTGGGAGTTACACTTTCCAAAGGCCTTTGATTTCAGAATGCATTTTTACTTCTGCCACTAACTCTTCTGTACAAATTTGTCATATGGGAAGATGCTCCCCAGAACGCTGTCTCGATTTTTGTTTTGCAGTAGGTCATAAACATCACACATTTTTCTGAGCATTTTTAAGGTCATCCATCAGTTGTAACAAAAAACCATTAAAGTAGAAGGCAGCAGACTTTACTAGCACAATAGTGCAACTTACCATATCATACCAAAACACTTCTTTGAAGTTGTTCTAGAGAAATTTTACTTTCTAAAAAGCCTCCAAAGATTGAGATATCCTGTATGAGATAAACACTGGCTTCCCCATTATTCCTCCATGCAAGCCTAGAGCTGCAACCAGGCTCTGGTTTACATTGGGTACAAGAGGACAGTCCTGCCGGGTAGTAGATACAAGCTGAAAATGTCTACTTGGCAGGGGGTGTTGGGGAGGAGCACAGCCTGCTGTGAGGTATCTACGCTGACAGGGAAGCAGTGAGAATCAAGATAAACTGATAAGCCAGGTTATGACAAATTCCTGACGCCCACTGCTGAGAGGCTGGAAATACTTAAACAGGGCTCAGACAAGCTTATCTCCCAATTCCCATCCATAAAACAAAAGCATTTAGGAATGCTCCAGCACTTGCTCCTTCTTTATTGATCTAAGTGTATTGCTGTGGCTACTCACCTCACTAATTAATTGATTGTGCACAGTGAAGCAACACTGGAATTAATAAATTACTAAATTTTAAAATAAATTAGTTCATTTCCAAGATAATCTCTGATGATAACTGCAGATTCAAGTCTGTATTTCTGTATATGCTTCTGAATCAATGACTTTTAAATAACTTACAATGGATGCATATAAAATCAAGTTTTATCTTAGAAAAGTTTTTGTTAATTTGCTTCCCCTCTGCTTACTGTGATCTTACAGAAAGGAACATACAGTACATGAAAAAATTACTTAAGGTATTTAATACACAGTCATGCCTTCACCCCTGCATGATGCTATGCAGTTAATAACTATGATTTCCTGAATCATAAAACAGACCACGGTGGATTTTTCTTCTGACAGCTGCTACACAGAGTTAATGCAAACCTCCTTGGGAAAATCTGCCTTCTCTATAACAAATATATATAATCCAAACTATATTAAGACACTTCAGTAAGTCTTTCTGTCAGGACACAGAGATGCATTGCTCTCAATATTCACTGAAAGTTTTGAACTATGCTAAATCTCCTCCTTGCCTTGAAGGGTGAAGTATTTTTCTTAAAAAATAGCTGCTTTGATTTACATTGACAAAAAAAACCTTCTGTATCTGCTTATCAGCACCAGCCCTTTCGAAGTTTCCTGCTGGTTCCTGGAGTAATTTGATGGCAATAAGGAAGGGGTAAAGGAGATGACACTGATAGTTTCAGGTACCTTCATAATATTTTTGTAAATGATAACCAAGCCCACAAGATATATGTTCTTGTTTCTGAGAAAGAGTTACTGGCATTCTCCAAGAGATGCAGGTTACAAACAGACTTGGAATGCAGGTAGCAATGACAACTGGAAGAAAGGCATTTCAAATCAAAAGAAAGTGTTTAATACACTTTCAAACAAAGAAACAAACAAAAATCCCCAACAAATGGAAGGACTACAACTCTAGTTTTGTTGCCCAGACCAGGCTTATGGGCTATACTGTTAAAATACTATGCAAGAATATAGTCAGATCAAGTCCACGAGCAGAGAACTCAGATTACAATTAAACTTGAAAATACACAGTCATGTGGTAGTCCAGCACATGACTTCAGTTGTGAAAAAATTTACTGTTTTTAAAATACAGAACAGCAGGTGCTCACCTACTATCTGTGATGAAATGGCATGTAAAGTTTTCATAAGAACCAGAGTGTGTAAGCTGTATTCTGTTACTGCTTCTGTGAGAAGAGCATGTCTCATTGCAGTCACTCTGGCGTAGCTAAGACTTTGGTGACGAAATACAGAACTCCACTCTTCTAGTAGAGTCTATGAGAAATGGATGCCTTCTGAATTGAAGCCATGCAGCAATCTGAAAGAATGAAATACTTATGTTACAATTTCTGTTTAATTTATACTTCAGCTTATGGCATTTCTAAGACACACTGGCTGGCAAAGAATAGGCATAAATGGCATGAAAGCAGCCATCGCTGTTGGACTGCCATAAGGAATTGTAACAAATCTTAAACTAGTTAGGATCAAAGTTGCTGTTTTACAAATTCAGGTACATTTTCAGTGCAGTTAGTTATACTGCATCACACCAGGTTTATAACTTTTCTTTAACAAGCAGTAGTTGTATTAATTGTCACACTGAAAAACAGGATTTTTTACCTTGTATAAAGAGAGGAATCATTTTCCAACTTACATTAACTGACCAGAAGTAAAAGCAGAATATAGCAGTTAATTACTCAAATTTTCAAGGTATGCTATAGACTACAGCCTAATCCTCAAGGCAGACAGAGAGAGAAGGGCTGTTTAAGTCTTGAGGGAAATGATATAATAACTAATTCCATTATTGAAGCAATTTTTAGTGGAGACATAGAAGGCTCTAGTACACAAGTAAGAGAAATAGAGATCTTTAGCTAGTTGCTTCTCTATACTTTAAGTTAAAACATACATAGGGTTTAATTGTCAGTTTATGTTGAGGACTGGAGGCAAGGAGTGTCTGGTATCGAGAGAAAGGCAGCATTAATACTGTTCCTGTGTGACCCAATACTGATCTGTGCTACACAGGTACAGACACAAGTAGAACTTGAAGAAGCTTAAAAGGAAGGCATAAAGAGAAAAAAAAATACCTAATGAAATCATCTATATCCATTGAACGGGCTCTTTTTTCAGAATAACCTGTATTTTTTAGGACCATCTGTATTTTCTCTGCAATTTTGAAGTTTTCAGGAATTTCCTGTCAATGGAAATTAAGACACAAATTAATTTTCTATTCATAGCATAGAGAGATTCATTTAAGTCACCTGTTCTCTTCCTGCTTTTGTTGTAGTTCTTGTTTCAAGTGATAGAAATTAGTTGTACTTTTTCTTGTATGGGTTATTGGCTTTTCCTTTTCTTTTATCTGAATTTTTATCCTTCAGCTCATTCCCTATGTATGAATCACAACAGGATTGCTAAGCAGACACAAAATTTTATTAGATTCTTACTAGATTACTAATAAATCCTTGTGGCATGTACCACCACTGTATTAATAACATACTCAGCTTTCAGCTTTTTGCCTGATTTAGTGATCTTCTCAGATTTTTCTCCAAGAAAAGGGTTTTTTCCTCCCTCAAACTCTTGGAAAAAAACTGTATCATGTTAAGGTTTTCAGTGTTCATTTTTTTTAATTCATAAAAAGTCAGTATGTAGGTCACAATACACAGAAACAGAATTTAATATATTAAAAAGGAACTTACTGTATTATGTAAGGAACAATGAATTCGGTAATTATGATCCAGCAACTGCTCTACAGCACTTGACCTGAAAGAAATACAAGTTTAGAATGAAAACTAAGCTTTAACTAGTTTTTTTTCACTTCATTGGCTGCTAATTTTTACTGTAAGAATCTTAACTGCACAGAGCTGTTCTTTTTAAACACTTGCCTTTGCCTTGTCTTCTTCTAGAGGAAAAAGCCTGTGACATCAGCATAAATCCTCTACTGTAGTCTACGGAATCACAGGATGGTTAAGGTTGGAAGGGACCTTAAAGATCCTCGTGTTCCTACCTACCTGCTATGAGCAGGGACACCCCACACTAGACCAGGCTGCACAAAACCTGATCCTATCTGGCCTTGAACACCTCCAGGGAGAGGGCTTCCACAACCTCCCTAGGCAACCTGTTCCAGTGCCTTTACTGCCCTCATGGTGAAGAATTTCTTCCCGATGTCTAAACTCCATCTACCCCCTTTCAGTTTACAATCATTGCCGCTTGTCCTATCACTGCCCTCTCTGGTGAAAAGCCCCTCCCCAGCTTTCCTGTAGCCCCTTCCGTAATGGAAGGCCACTGTTGGGTCTCCCCAGAGCCTTCTCCAGGATGAACAGCCCCAACTCTCTCAGCCTGTCTTCATAGCAGAGGTGCTCCAGCCCTTTGATCATCTTCATGGCCCTTCTCTGGACCCTCTCCAACAGCTCCATGTCTTTCCTTTGCTGAGGGGTCCAGAGCTGTACGCACTACTCCAGGTGGGAGTGCGAGCGCACACTGGCGGCTCATGTTGAGCTTCTCATCTACTACCACCCCCAAGACCTTCTCCTCAGGACTGCTCTCCAGCCATTTTTTCCCCAGCCTGTATTTGTGCCTGGGGTTGTGCTGACCCTTTGTTCAATGAAAGGCTGGATGTGGCACTTAGTGCCATGGTCTAGCCAGTGTGGTGGTGTTGGTCATAGGCTGGACTTGATCATAAAGGTCTTTTCCAGACTTGGTAATTCTGTGACCAGATGCAGGACCTTGCACTTGGCCTTGCTGGACTTCATGAGGTTGGCACTGGCCCACCTCAAGGTCACTCTGGATGGCCTCCCTTCCCTCTAGGGTGTCAACCACACCACATACTTTGTGGTCATCAGCAAACTTGCTGAGGATACACTCAATCCCACTGTCCATGTCTCCAACAAAGTTGTTAAACAGCACACGTATCAGTACTAAGCCCTGAGGAATGCCACTTGTCACCTGCCTCCAATTGGACACTATCCCACACTATGCTGAAATGCATTTAACACTGCTATGCATTTGCACAATAAATTATTAACTGATGGCCTCTCAAACTTTGAAAATATTCCCTTTAATAGAAGTTACTTACTTAAATGCTGCAGAGAGAGTCTTGTTTTTCCTAACAAAGGCTATCCTTACCAGACCATCCCACTCCTGAAATAAAAAATTTCAGAATTTACAAAAAGGAAAATACAGCTACTACACAGTCTCTAGCAACAATTTCACAACCATATTGAACACACAAACATTTCAGGAAAATATCTTTCTAAATGATACAAAACCAGTCCTGTCTTGGACAAAGCAATACAAATAGAAGAGAAAATACATCACCCACAAACACCTTTGAATTGCTCTTTTTCATGCCCAGGCACTATTGGCCAGATCTTAGATGCTGGGAAGGCAAATACTTGAAGATGGTCCAGCTAACACTGGGCAAGGCTGAAACCGTCTTGAAGATCAAAGCATTTTAAAAATGAACTTCAAGAATAATATCTTGTAACACCTGTCTTCTAGACACTCATCTGAAGGTAAGACTTCTCATAGATACTCCTTTGATCATAACCAAGTCATCAGCCAGAACGGATGAAAGGGACATGATTACTTGCAACTCTTCAGCTTACATGGAGATGACACCTCAGTCTTGTCATAAACACTGTAAACAATGGTCCACATGAACTGTTGGTGGCAAGTGCAGGTACTGCCCTAACACACACATGATCAGCAGAGGAGTAAGTATTTTGGAATTATGTAAATGCCAATTAGTATCTGGTACTTAGTGCTAAAAAGAGCACAGAGAACTGAGTAGTGAGTAAAAGAAAAATGAAATAATGTACTATCACTTGTACATTATATTTGTAGTAGAGTGTATGACAATTACCTGGAAGTTGATAGGTGGTGGTGGGTTCTTTGGCTCTATTCTGACAACACTGGATTCAACTTTGGGAGGAGGCCTGAAGTTGTTCTTTCCAACCTGTTAGTTGGGAGAAGCCAGGCAGCTGTATGAATAAGCAGCAAACCCTCACATTCCAAGAATTACTCTTCTATCTTTGATAGCTCTGCTAGCTTATGCAGACAGACATACCTTCATGAGGTGGTCGACTCGAGCTAATAACTGAGTGTTAATAGAGAGTCTACAGTATAGTTTAGTTCCTGGTTTTGCAACCAAACGAAGTGCAAATTCCCTTTGAAACATAAGTATTGCACACCTGGGAACAACAGAAATGAGAAAATGAATTCTAAGTAATCAGTTTTTATGTCAAAAGCCAATTAATATTGCCTCAGTGTTTAGAAGCAGTAAAAGTTTGTCATAAAGAAGCTCTGCCTTAATTAGCTCAGAATGTGTTTAAAAACAAACCCAAAAAACTTGGCAAAACCATCTAAATCACCTTAAAGCTACGCTAGGATTCGATTTTTTTATACTGCCAAACAGATCAGCATCAAAGAAACAGCCTAGTTGTAGAGTTTTGTGCCTGACTGTTACAAATATTTTTAATAAGTCTATGATGAGTCCTTCAAATCCAAACTTCCTAGCTCCAGAAATGGACCAGTCATGTCACTAGCAACACAAAGAAGTACCTGGGCAGTTACATTTTTAGACCAGACAACAGGAAGTGTACTGGCTTCAATCCTACCTTTTCCACCCTTCCATTCTCAGGTAGAAAGGCATTTGAAATGCCACAATGTCCTACTTATCTCTGGAATAACAATTAGTTATAGTTCTAGTCTAAAGGTGCAATTCCTGTTTATACCAGCTGGACATTCACTGATAATAAGACTAAATTTTCTCCTTGTGCTTAACACAGTAATATAAACTTATTTCCAGGTTCTGCAGGATTCATACTACAGAAATACTTTGAGAAAAAAAAAAATTACTTCAGATTACTTTTAAAACTAACTTTCCTCTATCAGGTAATACAGAGCTCTGTTCTTCCACATACCTGAAAAAAGGTCTATGAAGCAACAACTTGAAAACAAAAGGTGAAGAAATCTGAGAAAAAGAGTAATAGCATTAGTGTAACTTTTGGGCTGTTATCATTTAAAACGGAAAAGTTTTGTTATGTTGTTTAGTCCATACCTGGTAAGGCAAGTTAGCCACACATGCATCAAAGAATGGCAAGTCTGTTTTCAGGATATCTCCAACCTTGATTTCAAGTTTGTTTGCCAGACACCTGAGGGAAAATACACAAAACAGTTATCCTTAGAGAAGCGTGTTGCCAACGTTTTTGCCAAAGCAACTCCATTTCTTTTTAAGTGCTCACTATTTCCACAGTTGATACTTACGTGCCCTGGACTCTCTTCTGAAGTTCACCAACAAGTCTGGGGTCAATTTCACAAGCAATCACCTGAAAGCCAAAAGACAGTATTTGCAACTTTTATACAACTCCTCTTAACTGGGATTAAAATTTCAGTTGTAAAAAAACCCAAACCTGTACTATTCCTACAGGTTTGAATAAGTCCTAAAAATTCCCTGTTCAGCTATACACCTTTCACCCTTCCCAAAAAAGACACAAGCCTTACCACATAGAGGAGTAACAGCAATATAGTTTGACAAAACTATGCAAGATTCCTACGAATAGCAACAAATTCACTAGAATTATATAAATATTAAGAGAAACACCCATAGTGTAGTTCTATTTATTGGAATCAAGCAGCTGAAGGTCCTTCAGTTTGGCACAGCCCAAGCCACAGCGTGGTCAGAGCTCAGGATGGTGGCGATGTGGAAACTCTCACTTTTTTTACTTTCTCCAACATCTTCACTGTCAGGTTACCAGTTCCAGGGCCCACTTCCAGAATGACATCTGTACGTCGCAGGGCAGCCTAAGAACAAATGGCATTTCAGTCATTTTTATTTTTATTTTCCCCCTAGAACCGATTTCAAACGAACATTTAGCTATAAAAAGGGTAAAGCCCCCGCCCGGCCCCGGCACCTTCTCGATGATGCTGTTGACCACGAGCGGGTTCTTCAGGATGTGCTGCCCGGCGCCGGTGTTGAAGCGGATCCCTAGGGCAGAGACCGGCGTCACTCCCGCCCCGAGCGCGACCGCGGGAAGGCCGCGCCCCGCACC